GCGGCTCCTAGCTTACTTACTCTTATAATGCCGAGTTCCTTAACAAGGCTAAGCTAGCCTTACTCTAGCGAATTCAGAGCAAGAGTGAGCTACGGGCCATGTTCTTGATCGCAGTAGCAGACGGGAGCATGCAGTTGCATTCTAAAGCGATAGCACTCTATAAAGTGCACGCTTAGGACTTCTTAAAGCGTTTACTTATCCTCTGTTATATTCCCGCTAGCCAGCGAGGGTATATACCACATCTCACTTCGACCCAAAAGGGGGCTAGGCCCGACATGGAAGGCGGTCGCGACGACTTTCTGCCGACTTCATCCTCACCTAATTGGGGATGCAGGGGGGGTAGAACTGGCTACACGGACCACCGTGTACGCGCACAGGGACGTCGACGCGTCTTACTCCTCCTTGCCTGCTTGCTTTTGTATCGATCCTTTAATAATAAGTCGTGCTAGACCTGACGGCGCCTCTCGTCTAATTTGCATAGAATTTTTAATTTATAATAATGGATCTTCTCTCTTTTAATCCAACCTATAACGTCTTGATTTGTACGAGCTGCAAATATGCAATCTAGTCTAGAGCCGTTCCAGGCCACTTGTACGACCATCACAAGGCTACTATCCCTCTCGGCAAGGTCCAGGAATACGCCCGTCTCTTTACCCCGGACTCTCTCCTCCCTGCTCGGGAGGTAAAGCGGCTCCATATCCCGACTAACACCCCGCCCATCCCACATTTGCGGATCTATAACGACACTTATTACTATAAGTTCTGCCCTACTAATTAGCCGTATGTAATCCGGGGCGAGTAAATTCTAATCAACTACTTGAAAGAGGCCTATTAATGGAGTCTAAGTAAAGGTTTTGCAGACCGGCCATCTAAATCACGCCTCCCACTTAGTATAGCTGCTTATTTCCCCGTTGTCTGCCAGACCTTCCACACAACAAGCTATACTCGCTACTTTCTCGTTAATAATGGTAAGCCTAGCTCCAATCTAGCACTGGTATAGCTTGTCGAAGCTCTCGAGAAACCACCCCTTAGCCTCCGAGAACAAGTGGAGCAGACCTTTGCTCAGAAGCTTCAAGCACCTAAGCCTGATATCACCTTGCGCCACAAGACTAAAGTCTTTCTATAGCTCGACCTAACACAATGGGAGCGATACTTCTAGGGTTATAACTTGAGTTGCGTCGCACGCCTCCTTGATCTACCATCGCTTCACCTCCTATTCGACCCCGATCAGCCAGATAATTATCTCGTCCTCGTACTTGAATCCTTTGACCGTCTTATTGAATAAGCCCGTGAATCACTCCAAACCGACCGGATCAATATCTTTAATTAGTAGTGTGTTAGTAGCTTCCTTACCCGCCGGACCACCAACTTCTCATTGGTACACAAGCTTTAAGAGGGCACCTACACTACGTATAAGAAGGTGTGGAAGCAACTGCTAAGCTTCGTTTATCGGCGCGTCTGGCGGAACTAAGGCCCTGAGCTTTCATATCGTCTGACCGATGGTCAGGTAATAGCCCTCGACCGAGTAATGCAAGCTGCGGCCGAGCTTGCCTAGGAACAGCGAAGCACTAGTCTGGCGGTAGTATAGCTTTAGTAAAGTCTCGATTATACTACGATCCAACTATGTATCTTATTGCTAGACTATGCTTTGTTCGACACAATTTACGACAGCATCGTCGTCGTCTTTATAGCGGTTCTTAGTATTAGAGATCCTGGATTATTAGTCAATTAGAGTGTTACATTTAGCGATTCTCTACATTATACCCCATACCTCTCTGCCTTTATTAAGATAGCCTAGCTCCTCGTCATTCAAAGGGCAGTGCTTGTAGTAGATCGAGGTAAGGTTCTATATGTAGCTAACATGTTGAATGTTATACAAGAGCGCTTTATGGTATATGGCACGCATTCCCCTGTGAACTAAGCACAGAAGCTACGTAGCTTTGGAAAACAGATCAATGAGATCACTACTTCTCTAGGATATATCTCCTGGAGCGACGACGGCGAGCACCTCAGCTACAAGGGCCTGGAGCTAGGGATGACCGACTTGAAGAAGTTCCTGGCGACCCAGATAGCCGTTGCATAGTCGCTCCTAGAGGAGCTGCTACGTATACATCTAGACGAAGAGCGAGACGAGGTTGTTCCACTAGTTAATCTTTTCCGACTTAAGGACGATCCGACTAATAGCAAGCCCGGCTAGTGCTTCCTGGACGACCCGCGGAATGACCACCTCCAAGGATATAATCGATGGCTATTTAATCGTGTGCTAGACGAGAGTTGGCTGTAGTAAGAGTTCCTGATCAAGGGTACGAAGGCCGTGTGGCGGCGTAAGGCTACTAAGCAATACCTAAAGCAAGCCAGCACCTTCCTTGAGCTATTGCTCCTCCTTATCCACATCCTAGGGGGCTAGCCTGCACGGGGAACTAAGCTTCTTAGCCTATAGCTGCGTAATACTGTCTATAGGCTACAGCGGAATATCTTTATAGAGAATGGCCTTATTGGCTTTGT